ACTTGTTGACTCTCTGTTGTCATTTTAAATCGTCTCTGTTGTCCAGGTCAGGCTGACGGTTGATCATGTTTGTTTTTAACTCATTGTTTCTATATTTGTAATCTGTCTCTGGCTATTGTCTTTTCTGATTTTCTCTCTGTTTGGAGTCATTTGTCGTCTGTTGCTCTGTTTTATGGTGTTTCTGTCGTTCCTCGTCATTTTGTCTTCTGGTCCTTATTTCTCATCTTTTTGTCGTCTCGTGTGAATTTTAGATGTGTTCGGGGCTTTTCTTCATCTCTGTCTTTTAGTTTGTTGTCTCTTTACGGTTATTTTTTCCTCTTCGTTGGTGTTTTTCGTTTCTTTGTGTTCTTGTTCTGTACGTTGTGTATATTTGTTGTACTCATGGTCTTATTGTCCGTCCCTCTGTGGTCACATATTGTCTCTTCATCGTTACCTTTGTACATTTTGAGGTAAATTTTGTTTTTTTGGTGGGTATTTTTCGTCTTTTTGTGTCTTTTGTTTTGATCTTTTTGTCTCGTTACGGCTCTTTTCCATGTGTTTGTGGAAGTTCTTTGTTTCTTTGGGGTTACTGACCAACTCGTTCTAATTCTTTGGCTACCTGTTGTCTTTGTGTGGTCACGTTTTGTCATCTTTATGGGTCATTCCTTTTCATGTTTTGTCTGTTTAAGGTTATTTTTTGCCATCTATGTTTTTACTTTTTGTTTATTTCAGATTATTTCTCATCATGTCATCGTCTCTTTGGGTCCTTGGTATTCATTTTTTGTTGTCTTGTGGTCTTTTTGTTCTTAAATGAACCCTAATCATAATTTATGTCATCATACAAGACATTTGACGGCATTAATAAAAGAGCTTAAAGCCTTTACAGGACAACTAGACAGCGACAACCAGAAGTGGAGGCAGGCCAGGTGGACTTTCTCTTTCCTAACTACGTACAGTGTTTGTTTGTCGGCGTGAGAAGAGAAAGCGAGCTGCTGCAGCAGCTTTCTGTTTCAGCAGACTGGTTTTCACACTTCTCCTCCTGCCTCGGGGCAAACATTCCCTCTCTAACCTTTTCTCTTTCTGTTTGGAGACGAAACCATCGCGCTGGATTTTTCATCACAGCCTGAAATGTCCACCGACTTCTGCTTTTCTCTGACACAGTTTGTTTGAGCAGCTCTGGCTTCTCTTGTCTGGAGCAGAGCAGGTCAGGATTAGCATCTACAGCCTCACTGCTTCACACCTGTTCAGACTCTTATTCTGAAATAATATCAGTAAATGGCTGCTGGTTCTGACAGGTCGCGTCTTTGGACAAAGATGTGGAAAGCAATTGTTTTGTGTCTCTTTATTGCATTTGTTTGGTGTTTTTTTGGATCTTTTTCTGGTACTTCTGCATCGTTTTGTGGTGGTTTTCCATCTCTTTCTGGTAGTTTTTTGTCTTTGTGTGGTGATTTTGTGACTTTCTGTTCATTTTGCATATACTTGTGGAGATTTCACGTTTCTTTCTGTTTGCTTTTTGTCTTTGAATGGTGGTTTTGTGTCTCTTTCTAGTGACTTTAAATATTTTTGTGGGGGTTTTGTGCTCCATGTGGGCAGTTTTTTGTTTGTCTGGTGTGTTTTACCTCTTTGTGGTTCAGGTTCGGGTCTTTTTGTGGTTGTGTCTTCTGTTCATGTTGTATCTTTGGTGGTAGCTCCATGCGGTGTTGTTTTTTTTTTGTTTTTTTTACCTTTTTGTCATCATTTTGCATCTTGTTGTGGTAATATTCCATTTCTTTGTCGTCATTTGTGTCTCTTTGTGATGATTTTAGGTTTTCCTGGAGGTTTTGTGTCTCTTTCCATACATTTTGCATATTTTTATAGCAATTTTTTGTCTCTTTCTGGTCATTTTTGTGTTTGACTGGTGGTTTTGTCTCACTTTTGGGTCATTTTATTTATCCTGTGGTGGTTTTGTGTCTCTTGCTGTACATGATGCACAGTTTGTGGTCATTAAATGTCTCGTTTTGGTTGTTTTTGTCATTAAGTGTTGGGTTCACGTCTCTTTCGTGTCATTTTGCTTATTTTTGTGGATTTTTTTCTCTCTCTTTTTGGTCATTCCTTGCAGTAAAGTTGTGGTTTTGTGTCTCTTGTGGATCAGTTTACATGTTTCTGTATAACTTTTGTGGTCAGTTGTGTCATAATATTCCATTTTTTGTGTCTTTGTGGTAGTTGTTCATCTTTTTGTGGTGGTTTCATGCCATGTCTTTTTGCCTTGTTGTCATTGAGTGGCTCTCTGTGGATGTTTTTGTCTCCTTTGTGTTGGTCCCTGTGGTCATTGTCATCATTTTGTGGTGGTTTTGTGTTTTATGGTTGATTTTTATTGTCTTTGTGGTTTTCCTTCAGTGAAACTGGATCAATAATCCGTTTATGATGCTATTATCGGGCTCAGGTCCTGCCCCTCTGCCCGGCGGCAGCGTTTCTCTGAGCAACCTGCGTGTCTCAGAGGGCTGCAGACGCCACGTGTTACCGTTCACTTTAAGGTGTGTGTGTAGTTGAAAGTGTGTGTAGTTTAAGGTGTGTGTGTGTGTCGTGTGTGTAGTTTAAGGTGTGTGTGCGTCGTGTGTGAAACCAGCGGTGACACTGCACCTCCATCTTGGCCTCCACTGTTTGATTCCAGCATGCAAACACAACCCGACCGCAGGATGTTGCCGGATGATGTCATCATCACCATCATCATACGCACCCACACACACACACACACACACACACACACACACACACACACAGCAGTGTGTCTTTACAGTTCCTCCTGCTCACTCACCCACCACCTCTCGATTATTCAGAAGAAGACTCACCACAGTTGTGATATCCGGTGTTGTCAGACTGTACAGAAGGTTTGTGCGCCTTCCCCCAGCCCGACACGCCATCACGGTTCCACACGTCTGCAGAGACACCAGCTCTGTACATGTCAAAGAAAAGCAGGAGTTAAAGTCGACTCAGAGAGTTTGGA